TGTCTACTTACAAAATGAAGCTCAGTATTCTAAAGTTATGATGACGCGTTGATAGTCTAAAAATCGTTGTGGAAATCCTAGAATCCCCTCATCAGGAGAAACGATATTAATATCGAAATTACTGGTCAACATTTTGAAGTCAGTTTCTACTGCAATTATGTAATATTCATTAAGACTATTTAGTCAGTAAATGCACAGTTTTTCGATGAAGCATTCACAAGAACAGGGTCCATTTTGATGGTAAGATCGGTAATTCTCTGACTACTTGTCAACTTTCTCGGAGGTCTTATTTATATAACTACACCAAAGTAGAACAACACTCATCTTCTGTGAGTATAAAATATTTTACATTCACGAAATACCGGAGGTCTTCCGAAATGGCACTCGGGACATTCTCGGCACATTCTCCGCCAAGCAGTAGGCGTAAACACTGTTGTCGTCGGTATTTTTAAAACAGAGATGTGTGGTACACGATTTACTTAAACACACGATGAATGTCTAGTACACATAAAATGAGGTGAAATGAAACGCCTATTCACAGGCAATTTGACGGGCAAAATAAAGTGAAGGATGTAGAATACCAACAGCAATTTTAATATTATTTTTAATTGAGATGATAAGAGATAAACATACAAGAATACGTATCACTAGCGTAGAACGCCAATTTGAAATATGTAATTTAAACTACTTGGGTAATAAAATGATCCCAAAGAAGACATTAAATCCTTCTTCTTTAAGGTGTGAAACAGACGCGGCTTATGTGTTTACGAAATCAAGTATCCAAATACCCTTGCCACTTAGTGCCACGACATCTGTTTTTTGCGTCTTACGGATGTATTTTTGCTCAATACCAGATTTATGACTCTAAATGCGTGCAACGTATTTGCATCCCTCGTGTTGATATTCAGCAATATCCTTAACTGTAACTTTTTCATAAGTTGCTTCGAAGCCATGTAAATCATTCAGGACAATGTCACATTAGCCGATTTGTCTATAAATAGATGATTTGTGTATTGTTTGATGCGATTAGTATATTTTGCCGAAATCGTGTCAGCATGCAATGGTGTACCAATTAAACTACTCTTATTCAAAGGCGCTTGTCTACGCAAACGCCTCGTAGTGGAAGATGCACTTACATTTCTGCATTTTATTGGAAATGTAACAAACATTAACCAACGCAAACACACTTCAAAAGCATTTGCAGCAAATTCAATACGTGTCTTATTTTGTGGTGTAATATTTGGACCTCCTGCATATTTCAACAGCCTCAGGAGGTGCGTGTTTGTTTCTAGATTCAACCTGGAACTTTTCGGTGATGTCTGCAGCAGCAGCAACAACGACCGAAAATGCGTATTTTTTTTCTTACACTT